TCATAGAACAAAAAATATTTACGATTGTGTACTTATGTTTACTTCGTGTACTTCGTACTCTGTACTTCGTTTTCTAATATAAATTACCCTCATTGAAATTTGAAGTTAAATATATTGTAATACTAAAATACATCACAATAAACAATAATGCCTGTGTGCAATGTGGTTGCGATGATGACCACATGTATGGCATAGCAACTAGATTTCTAACAACTAATGCGATCACACTATCTGCAAGAATCGTGTTACATTGAAGCAGACTGTACAGTGCGAAATTAGCCATAAGGTTTAAAATTGCTTGGCTTAGCTAAGCGAAGAAACCGTCGTACCATATGGCTCCAAAGTCACATTCCTATAACGGTTTAAACTTAATATTGCGTATGTTATCATGTGATTCTTGATCAATCAAATCGCGTCATGAGAGCCTATTAACGAACATTTACTGTGACCGAGCAGCTATCGCGACGGAAGAATACTTGAAATACTCACGAAATAAACATGTTTTTCTTCGTAATATTACTTTTGCCTCATATGCCTTTTTTCTACATTGTTATCGTCTGTATTGAGTTTGCTACAATTTTCTACATTGGTATCGTTGCATATTCTTGAAGGCGTGCGACCTTGTGCGTTGGTACCACTCGCCAATTGCAGCCGCCATCGCGGAAGGCTTAAAGGCGTCAAACACGCTCAAGATACTGGAGAGTTTTACCTGCCAGTGTTTGCGTGTCTCGTGTTTAACGCTATTGCCTAGGCGCCGATGCAAGTCTGCAGGGCCGTTGTTTTTTGTCGACGCCCCCAGACGGGTGGGAGGAGCCTGTGTCTTTGACTGAGGACGGACGATCCGCCCCGACCCTTTCCTTGTAGAGGAATGCAATTTGAATCAGAGAGTACCCGCACAGGAGGAGGACAGACCTCGGATTTTTGGCACCAAAGTGTTAGGATTTAGGCACCTAAAACCCGTAACAAAAGTTTGAAAATAGGCATGAATTTGGCATGAAAAGTGACATTATAGGCACTGGCAATAGATTATTAAGTAAATCAGTCGTTTAAAGAACATTAGACGTGAAAAGTTATGTTCCTGTCATCTCGAACTGATCACAAAAGGATTAAATTAGGCGTTTTTTATTTTTCAGGAGAGTAAACTATTTGCACATTTGAGTGACAAGCATATTATATTTTTACTTCCATTCGTTCGTAACATATTTATCGGGTCAGTTGTGGCCACACTCTCATATTTGCCCAAAGAGGTAAACGCGTCAATGGATCCCGCAACCCACTGAGGGCGAACGGGGGGGGGGGTAACTCACAACACCTTTTCTTCCGTGGTTGGTTGTCAAGGTCGGATTGAACCAAACTTGAATTTGAAAAACCAAAAGCCACTGATCACAGAAAATGGAGTGACTGCCGCAGTAAGCCATCCGTGCGACCCTAGCAAGAGTCTTGTCACGTCCACGAAGTGAGTTTGCTACAGGGAGCTGTGGACGAAGCCTTGCCCCGTCGCGGTGGGGAGGGCGCTTGTGGGGCTGCTCCACCCCCACCCCCTCCGTAGCGGCCCGCACGGGTGGGTATCGGTGGAACCGTTTCATTCCCTTCCTCCTTTGACGCTTTTGGAGGTAGAGTACAACATCAGGAATGAAATAACATTTGTCCGGTTGGATAGAACTGAGGCATTTCTGGAGAATTGACATCGATAATTAATTTAGAAAGTGCGTGAAATGCATTTCTGCTATTTGGTTTTATAAGTGTCTTGTATTGAGTCTTTAAGTTCAGTGAAAAGTGTATTTTTTCTTCCAGAATATTAATCGAAAATGTCCTTGACCGCCAATAATCAATTACGAAGCAATAAACCGCCAATAATCAATTACGAAGCAATAACCAGTCTCTTAACGATGAAACAGTTATGATTTTAAAGAAATATGATAATTTCTTTGTATAATAGTTTATCCAATTAGTTTATAATGTTAAGCTTTATGGCACGAGTAAACGTTTTGAAAACGAGCGACGTTCGGACAGTTGAAAATTTGTACGAATGTAATAAACCTACATTACAAACGAGTTGCATACGCTATTTTTTGTATAACAGCATTATAAATTTAAAAGAGATTCAAAATAATTTTGCGAAACAACTTCCTTGTGACGACGCGCATTTTACAGCACAAAATGATATCACCATTTGTGCTGTAAAATGCCCGATTATGAACGATTTCGAACAGAATAGGTTTGTAATGCTGAAATGCAAAAACTTCGTAATTGGTAAGGGTTTCAGTAATAAGAGAGCAAATGTTTACTACTTTGGAATCTATTAGATTTAGGGAACAGAAGATACTATTTAAAAGTCAAATCTTGCGAACGGTGAAGCTTTTCAGTTTTTAGCATGCGCTCAAAACGGAAATGTGAAGAAATAAATGTTGATCAGAAACACTGGCGTCCGCAAGAGGGGTGTGTGTGTGGTTTCCCTAAAGGTTTTCGTAATATGACGTTTGTCCCTCTTTAAATAGCATCTCATTCCCTTATTTTCCACTTTATGTACATGGCGATTTGGGAAACTGTTTTTACACATTTGTGGACGTGACTCTCCAAGCACTCCAACAACAGCATAATGCTCTCTCTCGCTCTCTTTCTCTGAGAAAATTTTGAAAATTTCCCCGGTACTCAAAAAAGTCGAAGAATTATTTTCAAAATCTTTGAGCGACGATAAGGGCGAGATCAGTCCTGGCAATATTAATTTTGCGAAAATCCTACCAATAGTTCAGGCGCTAGTGTTGTTGACTGCCGAACCTTTTGAAATAAACCACTTTTTCGGTATCTGGGGACTCCAAAATAGTATTTCCGTTGAAATCTCGAAAACAATATTCGAGGCTTTTCTCTGCACTACGTAGACTCCGTACGTACATGAGAAATTAAAATGAGAAATTCGGAGGATAGTAGAAATTCGCTCAGACAATTTGCGCAAGAGTTTTCGTTAAGAACGTTAGTAAACACTACGAACCAAAGAACTTTTTTCAGTATCCTTCGATGTAAAAATGCTTATACACATCCAATATATATTAGTTCACCCGTTCGTATTATGTACTAATAATACGCACTATATGTACACACACACAATCAAGAGAGTCCAATTTTCCCCTTTCCAGTTTACCACCTGTTCTTGCTGTCACATCCACAGCCGTTTGACTGAAACTTCTCAATCTGTCCCCACCCTGAAGGACCAACCGTTGCTTGCCTTTGTTCGGCCGAGGACGCGACGCTATCTCTGTATGAAAGTGCATCCGTATGGACAGGGTTACCCGTACAGTCGGATAACATGTGTCTTTCAGAATATGTCCGTGCCAATAAAATCCATAGAGATGTGGTCTCAGATGCGCCTACCGACCATGCCAAGCGTGTTAAAAAAGAAAAACCGTTGAAAATGGCGAGAAAATGAAATTGGTAATAAAACGGCATTAGCCCGACGATGAATCGTTCATTTTCACGTGTTGCCGTTTCCAAACCAGAAAGATTTGAGTGCCGTGTGGCCCTTGTCTGCCTCCGATGGTCGCGCGGGCGGAGAAGCAGCGGTTGGGGACTGCCGCGTGGAGACGTAGGAGTGGTGGTCGTTGGCGGCCGGGCCGCGCCGGCGCACGAGGCACGACGGGAACGCGCCAGATGGCGACACTTTTTGCGTACTCGTTACGAGGACGACAAAGGCGGCGGCAAGCGATCTGGCGCAGGCTGAGGCGGCCGCCGACACCTCCGAAGCCCCTTATCTCAAGCTCTGGGGGAAGAAATGGGAACGTTATGTATATCGCAGTGATAGTTGAAAAAGGTCTTCCCATTTTCGTACGTCCAAATACTTCTACTTCTAGGAATCGAGAGCAAAATCTCGATTTCAATGTGGTTCTTGGGGATACACGTGGGAATTCCCAAATGTTATGATGTACCATTGTAAAGAATCATCGATGTTTGAAATATATTCTTTGAAGCTTTGGTAAAAATTGAACAAAGAAGGAAAAAGAAAATGACTCAATAGCAAAGGAAATTAAACACTGCTAATTTTGTCCTTCTTCTTTCGTCCTATCTTCCATATACGGAAGTTAGGTGACCCATAACGGGTTTTCTTAAGATAAAGTATTCAGGGTGGTTTCCCGTTGCCTTCCCTGATATGATGATGATGATGATGATAGGGGGTGAAAGCCGAACACAATACAACCATGCCCGAGGCGGGACTCGAACCCGCGATCTTTCGGTACGAAATCGCTACGCCACTACTGCCTTAGCGATCTCGGCCACCGGATCGGCAATTTTGTCCTACCTAAACGCAAAAGCGAAAACATATTACAAACTATAGGAAATATGTTTATTTTTAAAAGGAAGACGTAAAATAATTTGAAGTTATAAATTATGGTTCAGCATAAGTTTATATGCACTTCAAAATACATTAGTTCGTCGTTACAGTCTTCGTAATACTCGTGGAAACGACGAGGAAAAAGAAAACTTGAGAATAGTTTACTGAAGCGTTTGCGTAACTTGGTGGGGAGCAGCCCCCTTCCAATACTTCGACGGATTTTTCAAAATCGTGCATTGTCTACAATGAACGCATTTTCAAACTTGCAAAAACTACGAATAATACTGTATTACTATCGTAATACTGTAATAGTATCAAATAATTACGAACTAAAGGAATTCTGTGCAAACGGTACAACGAAGAAAAATTAGAAACGTGACCACACCAATTAATCACCATTCTCGAAACCGTCACGTCAGATAACACTCCCTTGCTAGGTATCTTGGGCAAAGTTTTAAAGCGTGGATATACCGGTGTAGCACTCTCCCCACATACCAGGAGATAACTTCTCTTCGAGTCACCTGGCCATTGTAATGCCGGCTTACAATATCACCCTGCACTTGCTTTCATAATACTTTGTATCAAAGATATAGTATCAAAATTGTATCAAAATACTTTGTATCAAAATAGTTAGCAGCAATGCTTTGTGAACTAAATAGTGTTTATTATGTTACAGATGTACCGCAGCACATTCATTATGAGGCGATAATGAGGACATCTGATTGGCAGCAGAAAACTTTGCGAAGTAATCTGAAGGCTTTGAAATCCTCTGGAAGTGTTAAAACAGAGAAAGATGTGTCACATGAACGGCGCCATAAGAAACCTCAAGTGGAACATCGTAGGAAATACACTAGTCGCCTTAAAAAGACAGCTGCTAATACTCTTACAGCCAGTATGTATTATCTTTTCACAATTCTGTTGTTTGCAAACTTTACTTAGTGTTTATGTACTTCTGATGAAATTTCATCCACTTGTTACTGTTGTTCATAAGTCTTTGATAAGCACTTTATGTAAATGCAACAGAAATTAAAATTTCGTGAGACTTGTTTTGTGCAATTATGGGCATGCTCTGCTTTGAATTAAAATTAACTCTTTTTTTTCTTTCCTCCAGAAATAAAGCGCAAGTTGTCGAAGGGACGGAAGACGAAATCGCATGATCCCAACAACCATTCATTGCAACGGCTAAAACGCAAGAGGTCTCTTGTGAAAGGAAACATGGGTATGCTATTATATTGTTTTAATCTTCCTCTTCTTATTTATTATCATCAATCCATTGCTCAAATTATTATTTCAAGTCACAAGAAATTTCTGTTTGCACTCATTCTGGATCCAACTCGTTTATTTTTGATTGAAACTTATTCATTCTTTCAATTGTGGTAAAAGCTTTTCATTTGATTATTGCTTATGAGAAATGTTTTGAATATGAAATCTTTTGAATTTTCCCCACTTTCAGGAGTACTGAGTACCCAGAATTTGACGATAAACATGACAGATTTAAAATTTCTAAGTTAATTTCATTATCTAATTCTATGTTTATGTTACAATGACATTTTATCCTATTTATTCTTACACCATTACACTGTTTTTGTGTGGGTGAGTAATACAAAAGTATGAACTTCAAAATTCTTTCTTATGAAACTTCACAAGAAATATCAACTTTTTCATACAACTCATCATTTTCTTTTTAAGTTTCCTGTCATTGCAATAAAGAGTGTTCAAATAATCGGCTCATTTTTGCTGTTGAGGCTTTTATATCACTTTTGATTGCTTATGTTGTTGTTATTTTTATTTTATTTTGTTTCTTTCTCATGTTAATGTGGTTTTTCTTCTCTCTCTTTCTCTCTCCTCCACCCTTCTCTTCCCTTTTGTCTCTCTCTCCACTCCGTTTTCGCTCTTCTTTTTCCATCACTTCTCTCCCCCCTCTTAGTCATGCCCTTTCCACTGTGGCATCAGTGTTATGGAACTTTCTTTGGTTTTAACTCGAACTGCCAGTAGTCATCATGTTTTTTTTGGTTTTCTTTCTTTCTCTCTCTCTCTTTTTCTCTCTCTCTCTCTCTCTCTCTCTCTCTCTCTCTCTTCCTCTCTCTCTCTCTTTTTCTCTCTCTCTCTCTTTTTCTCTCTCTCTCTTTTTCTCTCTCTCTCTCTCTCTTTCTCTCTCTCTTTCTCTCTCTCTTCTTCTTTTTCCTTCTCTCGTCCAGTTGTTTTTACATATTGAAATGTATTTGTTGGACATATTCTTGTGCAACTGAAAGAATAATTGTTTTTTGTTTTTTTTAGGTTCATACCATCAGTTTAGAGAGGATGGAGAAGATGATACAGGAATGGACTCAGCAATGGGAAGCAAGTACACCTCTCCAGTTCCATCTCCCTGCTCTGCTGGTGGGATGAGTACTATGTCAGATCGCCTCGCAAACTTCTCACAAGGAAAAGAAAGAGGGGATGGCTCAAGGTGGGTTTCCACAAGCTTTTTGTGTGTGTGTGTGTGTGTTTACATATAATCACTATCTTATTCTAAATGCTAATTGTGGAGTAGTACAGAGGCGTACAATTATTCAGGGGCCCCAGAATTTCTCTAAAATGATGCAAGTAAAATAATTTAAAATTTATTACATAGAAGTTTTAATTTAAATATCCATGTTTCTTTAAATTGATTTTCTGATCATTTTAATGGAATAAAATGATATTTCTGAAATTGTAATATTATAATTAAAATAGAAAGCTAGTGTGTACAGGCCAGACTTAAAAATGTGTTTTAATAGCTTCGTATTGGAACAAAAATCTAGTTAATAAATTGCGAGTTACATCAGAAGCTCCTGAATTATGCTAGAATAAAAGTGTTAAAATTTTAAAGTTCACTGAATATCCCTTGATCGATGTGACCTGACTGCTAATTGGAAATTAACCTTTTAATTTTAGGTGTACTTTACAATTAGAATATTTCCAAAAAATTTCTAGTCAAGGCTCAGAAAAATTTTCTTAACATTTTTTATTCAAATATAGCCATAAAAGACCATAACCATTGTTATAACCATGAAATTTCAAAAATTGCAAGTTCAATTTTTTTTTATTTTTTATTATTATTATTATTTTATTATTATTATTATTATTATTATTATTATTATTATTATTATTATTATTATTATTATTATTATTATTATATAATTGCATTAGTGAAGATAGAGAATGAAATCTGTTCTTCAGAGTTAATTCTTTAACCCTTCTATGGGTAAGGTACTTTCGTGACGTATCTGGGCAAACAGTATCCATCAGACACCGCTGGACAATCTTTGTGTTCCACTATTCTTTTCTTCCACTTTTGTACACATCTTGTTTTCATTGTCTTAGTTTGAATATGATGGATAATGAATAATTAAATAGTGCCTTCATTATCAATAAAACTCACAAGAAGTGATGTTAGAGGATACCATTTTTTACAAGAACTCTACGCACATCGAGGAAGTTTAAACTTTTCTTCTGTATGAATTCACATATTTTGATTAAATTAGTTAATTATTCATACTTTGTTAAACTGGTTACATCTCTGCCCATTGCTGGCAGTCTGGTGACCTTTGCTGCAACATCGTTTCTGAGTGTGACATCGCTCGTAGAGAGACAAGTGACATCCCATTTTCCTTCCTGATGAGCACTGTGTAGGTGCAGTAGAATTTAATTTTTGCCTCTTTGTTAAGAAGTGAATGTGTCTTTTGTTGGAGTCCCAGAGTATTTCAATGTGTGGTTGAATGAAGTCCTCTGATATCTTGTGCAAGAATAACATTTGAACGTGATGTTTCTGCATAATCCATGTTGGCTGCACATTTGGCCAGTGACAAATTCTGCCACTTCAGCAACGTCCAGATAGTTCATAAAGAACATGAATGGCCATTTGTTTGTTTTTCTTTGACATAAGTGCGAGTATATGAGCTGATCCAGTGCGTTAACTGCACCTTTCGTGGAATTGTAATGAAGTATTATTTCTGTGTTTTATTACCTCGAACTTCTTTGAAAGTATCTGTGTGGTGCCTTGTGAAAAGAATGGCAGCTTCTTTTTTGCTTCAAAAATGTATGATACCAGAGAAGATTTCTTATGCTATCTGGGCTGGAACCCTAACTGACTGGAATTACTTAATCAGTGAAGACAACCCCTGGTTTTTTATGCAGATATTTAGGAAAAAATCTCATCTTATATTTGGGTAAATACAGCATTAGTGTTTTCTCATACGTTTGAGTGAAATCATGACATATACTCCCAATTCACAAAGAAATATTTGTATTTTTATATTTTTCTTTAATTTATATGTTTTAAATAGAGCATAGCTCACTTGATGTATCTTATGTCTTATCTGTAATACCTCTGAAACTTTGATAATAGCAAAATTTCAACTTTTTTTTATGCCTCAGGAATACTGTTCGTAGGTTCAAAGAAAAAACTTGCCCTACACAGAAAAACTAAATAAACCCTACCAATGAAATAAAAATAAAACAAATGAGAGAACATTACATTTGCTATGTGCGAATGGAAAGACAGTGTAACACTCTTAAGATATAAGCTATACAGCAACTCCTGTTAAGGCATCGAAGACCAGAAATAAAATGTATCAGATCGTTGTAATACTTTTGTTGTGAATTTAACCCTTTTGTTTCAGGCGGAAGAGGGAAAATTCATACGATATCGACAACATTGTTATCCCATACAGCATTGCAGCTTCCACACGATTGGAAAAATTACAGTATAAGGAAATTCCAACACCAAAGTATGTACTTATTTGCTCAATTGTTATTTATTACTAGTACAGTGAGATATTGATTATCCAAACATTAACCATCTGAAACATCAAATATCCAAACTCATATTTTTTTTGAATAATTATTTTTTTAATTAGTACCTATACTATAAATATTCATTTTCTTTTGTACTACTGAATATTGAGAATGATTTCCAACATAATTGACAGTGATTAAATATTAACTAGACACTGTACTATACTCAGTCTTTGAACTTCAATGAACTTTGTAAAATTCTACAATAAATGCTTAAGAACTCGGAATGCTTATTATTAGCTTTAAGAAATAAGGTACTACGTGCTGTAGTATGCAAGGTTTATTATCTACAGGGTTTTGTATGTGCAGTGCAGAATTTTAATGATATGTTCTCTTAAAGAATCATTATATGTACTGCATTTTATGTATTTAATTACCATTTTTATGTTTGGTTATCCGAACTATCAATCGTCCTAACTATACCTGGTACCTTTTAATTTGGGTAATCGACATCCTACTGAATTAAAAATGTTTATGGACATCAAAAACCCCTGTATTTTCAAGCATTTTTGCATAGTAGTACTTGTGATGCTGGCATAAAATCTTTATTCATAAATTCTTTTTATGTAGGTGGAGAATAGTGGAGAGGAGTTTTGAATCTCCCATCAAATTGGACTTGAAAAATAATGGTGTTGTTAGACGATCTAGTCAAGAAAGTGATGTAAGTTGACACTTGTCTGGAATTTAACATTTTGTGAAATGCATGCATGGGCTTATTAATGTACAGAACCAGATTAAAACACTTACTTACTTCAAATGATAGTTTTTAATTCACATATTATATTCTAGGTTGAAGATATGTGTGAAGACACCATAGCTCTGAGGCATGATCGTTGTGAAATAGAGGAAAGAAAGAAGTTCATGAGTTACATTAAACTTCCATACTCTGGTAGAGGGCGAACACGACGTACTGATAGTAGGGCAGAGAGCAGTGGAGCCAACACACCTGGTATGTATTTATTACATTGTTGGTCATGTCCAATAATCTTACATTGTCTCAGTCATGTGCTTGATATTGATTCATTTATTGGTTTTAATAATTCACTTGTGCTTTTTTACCATAGATTTCTTTGGTATATCATTAGACTTAGTTTCTTGTTAAGGTAATTATTAGGACTCTCATCCAGGTCTGCGCTTATATACCAAATTCACTCTATTCCCCTATGCTCTACTTGTGTCTATTGTCTATACATTCTTAGCAAAATTCTGATGGAAACAAATGCATGTATGTGTGTTCATGTTTTTCCCTTTGTCTAGCAGTACAAGCTCAGCTTAAGTTGGATTTAGAGTCCAAAAGTAAATTGTTTTAATTTAAAAGCCATTTTTTGTCCATCGTATAAATAAAAATTAATCTTATAACAAAGCATTTTTGAAAAAGAGGATCCATTGTGGCGGCGATGGTGTAACAGTGTGTCGGACTGTTCTACCAAAGTTGGCAGGTTCAAACCCGATTGAAGTTGTGGATTTTTAAGAGTGAAAAAATCCTGCGTATGCCTTCCTTCAGGGGGGAAATAAAGCGGGCTGTCCCATGTTAGTAGATTTACTTGCGTGTAAAAGATCTTGAAACCTAAATGACACCCCTAAGCTAAATTCAAATCTCCTGTTTTGTCGCCCCAGAAATACCTCCTTTCTCCGCTAGTTGGAGCAAGGAGCCTAGCGAGATTTGCATGGTCATACGGAAGAGCGGGCTTGATGACCCGAGTCTCGCCATGTAAAATAAGACATCAATTCAGTTCAATGCAATGCAATTCAATTCAATTGTGTTCTCTTGGTGTGATGTCAGGTATTATGTACTGCTGATTGTTATGGTCTTCCAGAAGTACTTCTTGCAAAGAACTTCAGTTTGTTGTATTGTGTCTGTGAATGTGGGTCTTTACTCTGCAATTTACCTTTTAGGTACAGAGTAGTATTTACTCTTGTAGTCTATGCTGAATAAACTTTCATAAATAGACAAAAAAGCCTTGAGACGGATTTTCATTGTCTTGAGTGTTCATGCATTCTGGAAGTCTGCTTCCGTCTTCAATTTCACTGATTACAGGGTCCCTGTTTTCAGTAGGGTAGTTCTGCAATTGTGAGATTTTTTTATTCGATTTGGCAGGAAGACCTGGTATTCATTTTTTCAGAGTTGCATTATTGGCGTTCAGTGAGTGTGAATGAATACCAACTCTCGGTTTGAATTTTTTCAAAGGTTTGCAGACTGTCACATGTTTCATTTATCATATTTCTAATCCCTAATGGAATCTGATGTTGTCTCCAGTAAGACCTCCATCGCTAGATTTCTCTTGTGTGCATTTTTGCATTTTGAGGATATTTCAGATTTGAGGCTTTCAAGGGATCTCCTTATCTCTGTTCCCCCCACCCTCTCCCCTTAATAAAATTCTGCAATCAGAGCAATGAAACATTTGGGACCTAGTTTTCAGTTGTGAACATATTTCACAGAAAGATATTTTTCAACAAGTGGTATAGATTATCTCTCTGCAGCAGTTACATGACCATACATACGTTAACATCTGATATTTTTTGCTTGTTTCTATTGTCTATAGACTTGGTTTCTAGATGCTGGTATCATTAGTGTTCTGATGTTATTCTTGCAGTTACTATTATTCACTTCTTGACCATTAGTAGACTTTATTCCAGTGCTTCAATTTGAGGGAAACATCAGTTGTGTGCGAGTTGAAATCTCTTTTCAATCTTGATAATGGACCAAATCTGCTTATCTCAGGGAGACAATCCACTCAACCAATATGTTATGAATACTCCTGATTTCAAATTCTAGTCTCTAGTCATAGTGTCCTCTGTGAAGTTTTTTAACTGATGTTACAAGGTTATGTCCCCAAGCTTAGTGAATGTACTGCCAAAATTTCAGTATTGTGGTTTTGATTACCCCTTGCAGCCTATAACAATTGCAAGACCTTGAGAACAGGTGATATTTATTATTTAACCCCTTCCCACTTACGTTTCAGGGCTGCATATCCCCAGAAAGTACTCTTCACTCCCACTTGTCTGTTTCAAGGCTGCATATATATTTACACATTTTGCTACATCCTGATTAAGTAGTGAACCATTATTATAATAATAATAATAATTATTATTATTATTATTATTATTATTATTATTATTATTATTATATCTTTTTCTTCTTTGAGCTACCTGCAAATTATACTATACTTTCCCCATTACGACTTTAATATTTCAAACAAAAGGAGTCTGTGCTAAGAAAAGTAGTGCAGACTCTTCTGTAAAATCAATCTGATATTTATTTTCCTGAAGAACTGGCTTGTGTATCTTAGGAAAGAATGGTTTCTTCCCAAGCTTGAAGTGGTGTTGGGCTTTCAGGAGCTATGTCTGAAGCCTGTTCGTGATCATTTTCTACTTGTTCTGCTTTTACTACTACATGTTCTACTTTTGCTGCCACTTGTTCTACTTTTGCTGCCACTTGTTCTACTTTTGCTGCCACTTGTTCTACTTTTGCTGCCCACTTGCTTCTACTTTTGGCTGCCACTTGTTCTACTTTTGCTGCCACTTGTTCTACTTGACTTTTACTGCCACTTTTCTACTTCCACTGCACTTGTTCTTACTTTTACTGCCACTTGTTCTACTTTTACTGCCACTTGTTCTACTTTTACTGCCACTTTTACTTCACTGCCACTTGTTCTACTCCACTGCCACTTTCTACTTCCACTGCCACTTATTCTACTTCCACTGCCACTTTATCTTACTTCACACTGCACTTATCCTTCCTCCACTATACTTCCACTGCCACTTTTCTACTTCCACTGCACTTTTTCTACTTCCACTGCCACTTGTTCTACTTCCACTGCCACTGTTCTACTTCCACTTTACTTGTTCTACTTCCACTGCCACTTGTTCTACTTCCACTGCCACTTGTTCTACTTCCACTGCACTTGTTCACTTCCACTTGACTTTTCTCACTGCCACTTGTTCTATTTCCACTGCCACTTTTCTTTTCTTTTTCTTCTCTTCTTCTTCTTCTTCTTCTTCTTCTTCTTTCTTTCTTCTTTTTCTTCTTTTTCTTTTTCTTTCTCTTTCTTTTTCTTCTTCTTCTTTTTCTTCTTCTTTTTCTTCTTTTCTTTTTCTCCTTCTTCTTCTTTCTTCTTCTTTTTCTTCTTTTTCTTTTCTCTCTTCTTCTTTTTCTTCTTTCTTTTTCTTCTTTTTTCTTTTCTTCTTCTTCTTTTTCTTCTTCTTCTTTTCTTCTTCTTCTTTTCTTCTTCTTCTTTTCTTCTTCTTCTTTTCTTCTTCTTTTCTTCTTTTCTTTTTCTTTCTCTTCTTTTTCTTTTCTCTTCTTTTTCTTTTCTTCTTTTTCTTCTTCTTCTTTTTTTTCTTCTTCTTTTTCTTTTTCTTCTTCTTTTTCTTCTTCTTTCTTCTTCTTCTTTTTCTTCTTCTTCTTTCTTTTCTTCTTCTTCTTCTTTTTCTTCTTTCTTCTTTTTCTTCTCTTCTTCTTTTTGCTTCTCTTCTCTTTTTCTTCTTCTTCTTCTTTTTCTTCTTCTTCTTCTTCTTTCTCTCTTCTCCTTCCTTCTTCGATTATGTTCTTCTCTCTTCTTTCTCTTTTCTTCTTCTTCCTTTTTTCTTTTTCCCTTTTCCCCCTTTTTTTTTCCCTTCTTCTTTCTTCTCCCTTTCTTTTTCCTTTCTCCTTTTTTTCTCTTCTTTTTCTTTTTTTCTTCTTCTTCTTCTTCTCTTCTTCTCTTCTTCTTCCTTTTTCTTTTCTTCTCTTCTTCTTTCTTCTTTCTTCTTTTCTTTTCTTGCTTCTTCTTTTTCACTTGCTTCTTCTTTCTATTCTTCTCTTACTTCTTATTCTTTTTCTTCTTCTTCTTTTTGCCTTCTTCTTCTTCTTTTCTTCTTCTTCTTCTTCTTCTTCTTCTTCGACTTCTAAGCAAAGGCTTGCTTTACTTCTGGAGTGCACACTATAATTGCATGGAATGCCATAGTGAAAAGCCACATATATACACGTTCCTTCACTAAACCCTTTTCTGTCAATACTCCTTCTCTTCAATACTTCTGGCTGTCTTGACCAGTCCCAATGAATGAGAATTGCAAGTACTGGGGGAAGAGCAAACCATAGAAGAGTAAATCAATATAGGCTTGACCAGCATAAGATAGTGATCTCAAGACCACTACCGAGTGTAATTTGTGGCAGGATCTTTTCATGAATTCCAAGACTTGCTTTGATTTGACTGTTGTTCAATGCAAATAATCAGTGAAAGTCGTCCTGGAATAAAAAATTATGCCCAGATCTCTAATGGTATAGACTCGCTCTCTAGTGGAGGGAGATTCATCATATAATCAGAGGCTTTATTAGATCTAGATCTTGAAAAATTTATAGTTAAAGTTACACTTCACGACTTTGAGAAAAAGATCGTACTTCACACACCACGCATATAAGGCATTTAAGGTGTTTTGCATAAGGTCTTCATCAGATTGGATTTTTAAAAAAAAAATTAGGGTCATCAGCAAAAAGGAGATACTCCAAGTCCAGTATACTGTTGCACGTCGTTAATAAAGATGTTAAAAAATGGAGGACCTAAGTTTGACCTCCTGAGGGACACCTGAAGATGCCTCTATACGATTGGGAACAATACTCTTGTATGAAACAATCTGAACTCGATGAGCCAGTTAACTGTGAAACCACTGTAAGTTCGATCCACTCGCCCCCAACCACTCCAGTTTAACTAGCAAAATCTTGTGGTTTACTGCGTCCAATGCCTTACTAAAATCTGTATATATACAATCAACTTGAAGTTTATGTTTCATAGCTTCAAGTATATAACAAGAATAATAGGACAAATTCGCTTCTATATTTATATTGTGGAAGACTTCTTTGACCCATGTGAATAAGCTAATAAGCGTAAAAGACAACTTTTAACTGAAGTATAGGGATGTAAGATAATCAAACAAAAAATCCACACAAAACTATTTGTTTGGAGTTTGAAAATCATTAATCTCTGAAAGTTGTTTTTTGCTGTCTTATAAAATTGTTTTTTTGACTTATCAGCTTATTTACCGAGGTCAGAGGTACAATATAAAAAAATCAAAATGTGAATAATTTTTATTATTGATAAATAATTTGTAAATTTCACACTGGTCCTACAATAATTTATATATACCATATACAGGGTTTTTATCCTAACTCGCAACCCATGTCAGGGAGCATTTGTTTTTGGCAATTTGGCAACTGCGTGCGTTTGACTCCTTTTAAGACAACCCTGACTATCTTGTATAGACACCAGAAAGGGAGGTGGGCATCAGGTCTAAGCAGCAACTTTCCCATGGTTTTCCCGCTCAGGAGTCAGGCAGGTTCGCGGCTCTCAGGTGAGAATCTTTTCGCACTGTGCAGGTTGGGTGGTGTGGGCGAATAATATGTCTCTTTAGGCAATTCTGTCCAGAATGCATAAGAAACAAAAATGTAATATTGATGTGGGGGAAGTTATGACTGATTTATCGATTTACTAACAGCAACATCGATAATTAAAATTTTTAAAAAGCCAGCCAAGTAAGAAATCAGAAAGATATCTCGTGATATATTACCACCAAGCTCTTTATTATTTATAACATTAATATAGTATTATTGTGGAATCAGCATAATAAAATCATAATAAAATTTTGAAAAAATTCATAAAATGTAATTTCCTTAAAATTACAAAACATACAACTTTAAAGTAATGCTCAAGGTGACCACCATTTGCCAAAAGGTACACATTTACTCTTATCAGTGTAGTGACTGGAGTATGTTGAAAAGTAACAAGGAAAGAATAAGTGCTTTCTCTTTCTTCCAACTAAAATTAGCCATATTCTCTCAGTCCGAAATCTGAGGGCACATGGCCGGCGGTCGTTAAAAGTGAACAAGATGCCAAAGGTATTTCACGCATTGCCAAGCTGGCAAAACAAGAGGTGGTGTTTCCAGACATGGGTTACGAATTAAGCTAAAAACCCTGTATGTACTGCACATTACAAATTCTTAATTTGGACATTTGTATCCATGTATTTTAGAAGTAAATTTAGAAATTTTCTTTTTCTTTGTATTTTTTTCTTTTATTTTGTGAAAATGAAATAATTTAAAATATTTTATTAATGAATTCAAATGTGTTTTAGATCCTTTATCTCCGAACAATATGCTCGATTTACCTGGGGAAGGAGGAGGATCGCCTATGACATCACCACCTGCAACTCCGTTATCAAGTCATCAAGATATGGAACTACCTCCACGCAGAAGAACTATATCTCAGTCTCGATGGATACGAGAAAAAGAAGAAATACGTTCCATCACTCCTGATCATGTTACTGAGGTGAGAATTAGCTGTGGTGTTTTAATCTTTTATCTTCCTGGGAGTTTAAGAGAGAGAATTGCAATCTAGAAGAAAATCAGACTTGATTTATTCACAGAACAGCAGAAAATTTTTCTGAGAATCCTTGGTAGGATCTGAAAAGTTATTAGTTTGCTCTGACTCTTGAATGCAGCATGATAGAGGTAGCATTTGAGAGGAAATTAAAAGGCGATGGTTGCATATTCTCAGTATCTAAAGACTACACTCTCCTTCATGGAAGAATCTATGTAAAGCTTAGTCCCTTTTTGTCTATGACTTCTGCCTATTAATTACACTTATTTGGCTTAGTGAATTCCATCATGTAAATACATGTAAGCTACAATGATTCTGTGAGGATTTCATTCTTTGTCCTTTTGTTTTTGTTTCATAGCCTACAGATTGCTGCACAAGTAAATATATAACAGTGACTTGTCTGATTTTGTCATGCCCCATTTAAGCATTTCCTAATCTCCTTTCCCTTTGCCCCTCTGCACATGATTCAATTGATGACTTGAAAAACTTGACAACATCCATGAGAAATTAATTTAAAAAAATGAACGAACAATTTAAATACTGTAATTGCGTAAGCATTTGTTAAAAATAGTGATATGAAGTCACATCATAAAAGAAAGATAGTATACTAGTGTTCACCATGGAGATTATACCCTCAAAATTTGCTCCTTTGTAGAGTGGGCACTGGTTGTAACTCTGCCTCTTTACCCCTACTACACATTTCACTATTTGGATACTTGGTGGCAAATTCAAACTATTGTTATTGTTATGAGCATACAGGAAAGAGATTTGCTCTGGTATCTATTTGGAAACAAACAGCAATACTAATTCTTTGAAATGTCACCACTCCATACTGAAGAAACAATATTAGTAATGCGGATAAAGAGGTAGGACCTGAACACTCTTGACTTAGGGACAATCTTCTGTTGAACTTGACATGCAGGGATGCTCATCCTCTGACTGAGACCTGTTTTGGGGTAAGCTCTCTGTGAACACAATACTTGCATTCTTGTGTAGCAATGTATAAGTTCACTCCCAGTATATATTATACAAAATAAGAAATATAGAACAGAGAGCTGACTTGTTCATGGACACTTTCAAAATTTTATTAACAATCAAGCAAAACAAACACAAAAGCACTGGGATAAGCATTTAATGCATATCTTGTTACTACTGCTACAATGTAATGAAGATAAGAACGATAATAAAGAATAATCTTCAAGTTTGCATCACCAAGAGTAATTTGTCATTGGAAATAATATGTTCAATATATTTTGTTTTTCGAAGTTCTGCCATATACCTTTTGTAGATACTTTCCACAAAACTCTTCACATCTGGATCAAAAGACTGTTCATGTTTTGTACAGCTTTTAATGTTCTAAAACTGTTAAGAGGAATAGGTCTATTTTGGAATGATGTCACCATTCTTTCCTGTACATCTGCACTTTTGGTAACTCCTTGCTGTCGCGACTGCTCCTTCTCCTCCTATTATACCACCTAGTGACACTCAACAATCGGTTATTAATTTTAAAAATGTGCATGACGGAATATATTTATTTGTGAACTCAGATGATTATATGCTTTTTGCTTAAGGCATTGGAAAGAATGTGGAAAACAAGTATTAAATCCATAATATTTATTTTGTTAGTAGAAAAATGGAAAGTACAAATATTCTCCCTCTAACTGAATGCCTGTCTCCCACATTGTCGTGAAGTTTTCTAATGACTTTGAAAAAAATCTACTTTTGGGGTCTTGTAGTACCAGTCTTAGACAGAATCTCGGATTTCTTCTATCACTAAACACATGATGTATCCTTCATTTGGTTGAACAATATATTGTCCAAAATGGAGAGTGTGGCAAATGTGTGAGGGATGGGGAAACTATAGCCTGTCTGTTGTCTTGAGACTTGCAGGTCACAGCCTTGTGTTGAAGAAAGGCTTCGAGGACCCATTTTCTAGCTCGCCTCTAGCTCTTCTGGTTGTAAACACAACAGAAATTTGCAGCACAGGTCCACTTTTTTCTTCTTCTGCAGTTCTGTAAGATTGTGGGGACACTCAAGAGCACAAATAACTTGTCCAAGTGTTGAGGTGCATCATTTTAAATTGTTGGTCAGCATTTCTCTTGCAGTGATAAGAGGTCTGTCTGATGATAGAACATTGAATCAAAAATTGTTGAACCAATAAGCTTGTTGTTTTTATACATCATTTATATCAGAGCAGCATTGCCAGTCCAAATCATTTTTGAACACCCTATATACGAGGCCTGTAGAGCAGTAATAATCACAAAGAAAATAATTTTCTTTCATTCTGTAAGGTATTTTACATATTCAAATTTTTAAAATACCTAATAAGAATACATTCATCATACGTAAATCAATATCCTGATGAGCAGAATGAAAACATTAAGGGAGAAAAAATTTTTTAAATCTCTTCTGGGAGATGGCTGAATTTTGTACAGAAAATCTGCCCCTGTGCAGACACACAACTATAGATTTATTGCTTCAATTCTTTGCCTTTCTCTTTCTCTCGCTTTTGTCTTTCTTTTCTTTCCACTTGCATGGTTTATGAGAAATAATGCTGTACCAAAACAGGTTATATCATGCATGAATAAATATTTTCTGGAAAACAAATTTTCTTCCTTTAAAGTTTTGTCCAAATGTTCAGTTTGGTTCATACACTAAATTCGTTACATCTAGGTTTTAACAAAGAAAGAATTGGTGCTATAGATCTGGAGGTATTATATTTCAGCCTACCATTAATAGTCAACTTGTGGGAGAATTACTTAAATTTTATCACATGCTTGGCTCCAGTGCCATACATGTTTTTTCTGCATTTTTGTTTATTTTTCTTAAATTTATTTATTCATTCACTACTCCCAGTTCAAAAAGGGGGCATGACTTCACAAAGGCTTCATAAATATGTATTTAAAATGGTGGGAAAATTGGTTTCACCATATTAGAGAGCGTAAATCAATGATAATGACTTGCTTAAAAGCATAAAAATGAACTTTATCATTCTACCATTTTCCAACATTTTGAAGTTATAAAATTTCTTCAATGCCTTGAAAATCAAGATTGTTTCTCTCTGGGGCATGTTCTACAATAGGAACAATGAACATACACTGTCAGGTGCTGCGAAGTAAAAATTGTTCAGAGATGAAATTTCATATAATGAAGGAAATTAAAGAGGAAATTTATGATTGCTTAAATTTTGAGAAGTTGAAAATTTAAAGATAAGTGAAGTTCTTTTTCAAGGAAGAGTAATTATTAATTGTTCCATTTTGTTGAGTTCGGATGTACAATTTTCTTTTCTTCCTGCTTTGATTTATACAGTTATCTTCTAGAACTTTCATTACTTATGGTTCTCAATTAGTACTACATTTGTGAAGACTTTATTTCTTGTGCTTTTTCCTGTAAGATTTCCATTAATAATATTGAGCAAACACTTTGGTAGAAATTTGTGAACTTAAGATAAAAAATACTTGCCATTGATAACTAATTTGTTTGGTAATTTACAGGTCCCACCATTTGATCCAAGGTTGTTTCCACTTAGTGATGAAACGTATGATAAAATGTTAAAATCGATGCCTGAAGGTCATCCATTTCCCCCTGTAATGATGGAGCCAAAGAAGATCACCAAAGCATTGGAAATGGTTTGTATTAGTTGTATTTTTTCTTCTTTTTTTCTATGCAATGTAAAAGGCTTTGTAAGGAGGATTGTCGTAGTTAATGTTTTGGGTTAACATTTCAAGGCAGATTGATACAATAAACTTCAGGTAACTAAACCACTTCAAATGAAGCCAGGCTCTCAAATTGAAGATGTTAGTTTTGATCATCACGAGGAAAAGACAAGAGTCAAACTTGAGTGCTTTGTACAAGGAAAAAACAAAACACACATGATTGTTTTTGTGTAGAAACTTGCAGTTTTGTCTGCATTTGTCTAGGCAAACTAGATATGCATTGTTATATGTAAAGTAACTTTTATGCTGGCCATTCATGTGGATGGGATTCAACGGATGATATCCAGAGAGTTCATTCCATTCAGTCATCCCTTGAGGCTCAACAGTCAATGTGTCTGTATTATTTGCTTTGTTAAGCATTTGATTTTTGTTTTCACTACATTTTAAAGCCCCAGTTTTCAAATTAAGAAAAATTGTTAAAACTGTTAAAGAAAATTGATGAAGTGAACAGTTAAAAGAATGAGGCATCATTTACTTTTCTTATAGATCGTTATGACCTTTGTACGTCTGATTGACTGTTGATGGAATAATTGCTCTTGAAAAATTAAAATTTTCTCTGTTGATATATTTATTCCCCCTCCCCTACTTGACAATGAGGATAGTGATGATTCAACGAAAATCAAAAATGGAAGTAGTTTCTTTTTTCTTTACTGTCCTTTCCTACATACAAGGCGACAAAATTGAAGAGAGATAAGTAGCAGTTTTTGAGAGAGAGAAGAGAAAAAAAGAAGAAGAAAAGAAAACACACACACACACACCTGATAGTTTTGAAAAATTGAACATGACCTTAATTGAAGATCTGTTTTTGATGAACAGATTTCTTTAACAAAATTTCTTTTCTTCATTATTATAGTTGTAGGAAGATGCTGAAAACATTCTAACTTTCGGAATTTTCGATAATACTCGCACTTCAAAGAATGAGATTTGAACCACTTTTGTAAGCATACTTTAATGCTCTTAAAGAAAAAAATGTAAAGAAACCATTTGGGAGAAAATTCAGAATGTCATTGAGGGCTCATGTAAAGACCTCCAAAAAAAATCAAAAATATGCAGGGCGTTGAGTTCAGACAGCTTAACCGGAAACTGTCAATTTTGGAGGAAATCACCTTCAGGTTAGGTTCTAGTATTGTCCATTGATGGACGAATGTTTTACCGGAAGCTAATTTTTTATCGGGACCCACAAAATATGTAATCTGACTACACAACATACTAGCAAACGTAATTTACTACTCGTGCATATAGCAGTAAGAATATTCACTTTTTGGGATCAGGAACCCACAACATTTGTTTATCAGTTGAAAAATTGCAGCTTTTTACTAGAGCTTACAGTTTTTTCTCTTCACTGTGTAAAACGTAGTAGGCAAGAAAGTAACAAGAAGTTATGTGATAAATGTGTTTAAAGTTTTCATTGACAATGGAAATGCAAGAATTGCATTCTTAATAAATGATGAGTTAAGGAGTCACTGTTGCTAAAAATTTTCTTATGATAAAAACAGAATGTAAATAATAATTATTAAAAATGTAATAACATCAAATCATTATGTCCCTTATGATATAATCTTTAATCAGTTTTTGTCGTAGAAAAGCATGTTGTACTATTTTCCACACATAGTTCAGTTATCCCTTCCATTGAAAGTTGAATAAATAATGCATTTAAGACGTTTAGTGGGAATGCTTGAGCAGTAAATGGTATTGAGAGATATGAGGATGCCTCTATCATTGCCTTTTTGTCTGTGCATGTGGAGGACATACCCTATCAACAGGTCTATGAAAAGTATTGTTTGTTCTTGATAGTACCAATACAGGAACTAGCATTCTTGGACACAGTGGACTCTGCTCCAAGAACAAATGGAAGAAAGGTTCTTTGTGTCTGGCTCTAATTATCATAGTGATGACGGTTTTTTCAAAACTTCCCAGGAACACCAGTTTTTGATGTGAAAAATTTCAAAACCTCTTTGAAGTTTCGTGATAAAATGAAGGGTCTTTGTAATATTTGCATCAAATGTTCACAGGATTGTCTTGTTTTAAACAGCCTCGTACAATAAAAAGTTCAATTATGATTCTGTGCAGAGAGAATTTTCAGTCTCATTTTATTTATTTCTTTAATTTATTTTACAAAATTATTGCCATTTTTCATTTTAAAAAACCCAATACCATTTCAAATGAGCATGTTTCGTGAAACAAAAATTTGAAATAATCATGCTTTACATGCCATACAGTCATCAAGAAGTAATACCCTGAATTGATAATATTTATTTTGAAAAAACTGGAAGAACGGGGTTACACAAAGTTCTGACTTTACTCTTTGAAGGCTGATCACAAAATGAAACTAAGCAAGAAGGAAACCTGTGTTTCTAGCTGATGTACCAGTGGTGTGATGATGCGATGGTTTGCAAGGATTTTCAGTCAGATAGTTTAGCACAATTTGATTTTGAATTCTGTTTTCTTATGTCGTCATCTTCCTTATCGATCTGATTTTTCCCATCCACACTCGGAATTTTAGAAACTGTGTGCTATTTAGCGTTTGGAGTGACCATGAATGGCTGGCCTTTGAAAATTTGTAGTTTCTTTCTAAGTGGAGAGTGCCAACAATATGTGTTATGCCAGATGTTGCAATGTGCAACCAAATACTAATTTAATAGAAGTTATGGAAACTAAATTTTCAATATGAATTGTTAATATGAAAAAATTAGAAGCCTGAGACGGAAGTAAAACTTCTGTCTCATGCAAATTTTGTTTTGGATTGGCATCTTGTACAATTCGGGAAAAGAAACCAAAAATTTCTGGGCTGATCCTTCTAGGTGATGGTTTCAATCATTTGTCATATTATTGCAATCATAAATAAGTGAACAAGTGACTTTCAAATGACAGTTCCTTGGAAAGGGAATATAAGAAAATCGTTTGTGAACTTGGTAATATAGGATATATGTACATTTGCAGGGTGAAGTCAGCCAGCCTGCCTCCCCTGGCACCGATTCAACTGAGTCAGCGTTAGGTGAAGGAGAGGATCCCAATGACCCGGAGTGGACTGTAGAAGAAGAGAAAGAATTTGAGAGGGACAGAATGAAAATGGCAGTTAAGAGATAAAATATACTTCATGATGGAGTTAAATTCTATTTGCATAAGGAATATTCTCAATGTTGCTGGTTTACTGGCCCAATTATGACAAATTGTATGTTGAGAATTCCTGTCGAGTCAGCTCCACTGTTGTTCCTGCTGATGGATATGCAGTGAGATGGGCATTGTGGGCATCGTCTGAATACTTGTTTCCCCAACAGTGCATGATGTATGTAAAAAGACCAAATGATGCAGGAATTGCTTCCTCCTAATTAAAAGGGCATCATTTTAAAATGCAAGTGAAAAGTACCCAGTTAATCTGTAAGTGCACTTGAGTGATACAAAAAAAGAAAAAGAAAAAAAATTAGCATACATGGTCTGCTCCATTGTCTTGCACTTCAAATTTGCTGTTCTTGCTTGTTCCCTTTTTGTTCTTTTTTTCTTTCTTTCTTTCTTTACTTGCATTTTGTTTCAATCTAGATTGTCAGTGTAGTAATAGTCGAGTTTCATCATGTTGAAGTTTTCTACTTTGTAATAAAAATGTGTGTATACTGTGCGTATTACTTGTTGATTTTTTGAAAATGTAATTGGGTATAATTTCAACAATTCTCATACAGTTTTAGAGGAACAATAATTATCCTTTCAGTAATTAAAACCTGTGCATAGATCTGCATCTGGTTTGTCTTTTGTTCTGTGCACCAATGAAAAGGTTTCTTGTGCCTAAAGTTTTAAATTATTGTTTTTATTTATGAAAAAATATTGTATAGCGTTATGCAATTGTTCAATTGTTGTGTGATAGAGATAATTGTTTTGTAGATAGTACGCATGAGTCATTAAGTATTTTTTTTATTTTAATCTCAGGCTAAATTCTTCATGAAATTGTTTCTTGTGTGCTTATTTGAATTTTAATTTAAATTAAACCACTCATGTGAATTGATGGAGCAGGCCTTCGTTATTTAGATGTTGATGTACTCTTTATAAGAGCATATATCAGTAAAATTGCCTGCTTGGAAAATTATCACATGCATAACATGAAGCTAACCATTCCATGGTAGTGTATAAATGTTCCTGTCCCTTCCCATTCCTGTACCTTCTCCATTGTTATATTTAATGTGGTAGGTGTTGAACCACTTCAGAGCTGATGAGACTGATTCTTGTTTTGGAACTGTGGGAGAAGAATAGGATAACAATTTTTGGTTGGGTTGGGTGTCTTAGACTGTGTAAAGAAAACTGTGAAATATGTCCATACACAATATTTACACAATGTGGAAGGCACTTGCTGAAGAAGTGAGATTTAGAGTAGATTTTGTATGTATTCTCCAGCACTAATACGCTTATAAAAACTTTAAGGAGTGGAGTCATCCTCTTTTCATCGAATATTTTTGTGTTTCCATATGTTTTTGAGGTAACTGTCCCCCACCTACTTACTGTTTCTCTTCTTTTTTTTTTCTCTCTCTCTCTCTCTCTTTTGTTTTCTTCCCTTGTAGTATTTGTCATTGTTAGTATAAATGGCTGTTAGCTGTTTAATGTGCCTTTTTTGTTTTGTTTTCAATAAGTTTCCTAAACTTTAATTTACATGAACTCTAAAAAGAGAACATATCTTTGTGAGCCACAAATGACACATGGTTAAACACCATACAATTATCTGAAGTGTTTGCCATTATTTGTTATGTGACCTAGTTTATGTTGTGAATGTTATGTCTGTTTTATATGTATATATTGTGTAATAGATAGCAAGCATTCCTTGAAAATGGTAATGTTGCCTTGTGAGCATGAGTTATGATTCTTACATTGGAGTGTTACATGGTTTGAGATGTTAATTCAGATTAGATCATTGCTGTATTGTATATAATAATTTCTGTGTGTTCTGAATTTCCCCAAGTCAACATCATGTCTTGCAGTGTATAATTGTTGACTGTTCTGATGTAGAATAGTTGTCGGAAAGAGTGAATTTTGTTCTTCCTGTAGTTAAACTTCTGGGAAATTTTTATTCTTTGTGTATGGTGCGTACGTGTGTGTGTATGTGTACAAGGAATGCTTTGCCAATTGCTTATATTGTCAAGAATTTTGTCACTGTTTTTGGAGAATTTGCTGGCATTTCCCAGGTAATCGTATGGTAATGTTGCAAATATCCAAGCTAGGCCATTGGTGGTTTTAAAATTGTACATCACAAAAGTAATGTTCTCAAAAGCTCAAGGAGCACTCCGCAGACAAAGCATGGAGACCTGACACAATTGTTTGTGACAGTTATGTAAAAATTGATTAACCCAGCACCTGTCTCCTAGGTGGGTTATTTTATTTTGTAGATCTCAAATCGTTAGAAATACTTGACACTATTGTATATTGGTTTGCCTGCATTATGGACAAGTGCTGTCATAATTTTTGTGAGCGATGATGTCCAGCCAGATACAATTGTCTTGAACAGTTGTTGCATAAACTTGTATAGTCATGACATGCACTAGTATAATTTTAATAAAAATATTAGTTACTGTATTACATGCATCTTTTTTCCTTATCAAAACTCCTTACAATTGTCTGTTGATTTTTCTGTAATTTTGATGATAAAAATTGTGTATGTATTTCGTAGAAGTTATTTGCAAATGAGTCTATCGCTCTGTTTTTTGAGGTTAAAAAATTAAACAAACAAACAAAAAAAAACAAAAACAAAAAAACAACTGAGAACTTTGCAAACTGATACATTTTGTTTAATCAATGATAGGGAAGCTTTAGCTTTTGCCCAGAGCAAGGTGGATTGGTATGTCAGTGTTTCTTGATTTATGGTATTTGGACAAAAGGAAACAATGAAAACTAACTTATAATTTCCATGTACTCTTGATGTATATAGCACTTTGTGTGTGCAATATTTAATGAAGAAACAGTTTGTGTGATTTCTTCCGAATATCATGTAAAGATCCTTTGGTCTTTGCCCCTGTCCAAATTTTAGTTTTACAGAATTCTAAATAAACATGGAGCTTTTATAATTGACAGTTGCTTTATTAGATTCTTGTATTTAAAGCACAAGAAATGGCCAAGGGATCTATACCCTTGAAACTAAGTTTCTTCCATTTTGATGAGTGTACATATTTAAAGAATAATTCAGATGATTACAGAAAGACTTCATAATCCAATAATAAATATGTAGTCACAATTCAATGCTGCTTCTGGAATTTTTAATTCTTTCCTGCCTTTTAGTTTGCGTTCGATTGAAATTGTTCTGCTCTTCAACATACCAAGGTTCAAACACCAATTCTCATAGAGGCAAATATTTCTAACTAGTATTATCTCTCTAATTTGATTTCCAGCCTGTAAGAAATTTTAATTTTATTAATTAAGTGACTACTCCAAGGTAGCTAGTGGGAAAAAAAGCACAATTCTTATCCTAAGTGCAAATAAATTGCTCACAAACTGAAGGGTCCATGTACAAAGAATTAATCTTTAAAACGTGGAACTCTGAATTCAATTTTTAATTCTTGATTTTCATGTCCCGGTAAACTAATTAAAACAGTCATGACTCTTCATGAAGTAAATGGCTACCTAAAATGATTTTTTTAAAAAGGTTTTTCTCAATTAGAAGTACTTCAAATACATTTGGATCAGTTATAATTAAAATACTGTATTTAATCAAATTTAGATATGTTTGTATTTGTGACCAGAATATTCTGGGATATTTTCTTCAAGTTTTTGTTGTAGTCTAAATTAATTTGTTATTTAGGAAAAGGTTTCATTTCCATTCAGGGCAATATGGAAACTTAACACTTAGAAGAATTTCAATTATGTTGCATTCATTCAAATGTTCTGAAAATGACAAACGTATCTGGTTGAAATTTAAATTTAATAAATATTTGAAGTGTTTTTTTACACTATTTTCCTAATTCCTTAACCCTTTTCCTATTTTATTAAAGGAACTTTCTTTAAATTCATTAATTTACATTCTTGATGAAATTTCTTAAATGTCATTTACATTTTACCAGTAACACTATATAATTAAAAGAAACCATTTTTGAAGCTGCATAAACCCTATTTTCTCTAATAGGAGACTTCTTTTAAAAAAATGTTAGGAAAGCTTAATTGTGTATCCTACAAATAATATTTCTGTCTACTTCAAGCTCCTGGTTGTCAAGCAAAAGGGGGTACAGTTTTCCAATCGGGCATTTCGAATTGTGATGTCACTGCAGAATTGCTAATGCTGATTATGAAAAAACTGAAATTCATAGCGTAACCCTAATGAAAGTTTAAGAGAGCCATTACTTCTCAGGAAATGAGTCATATGTGAGATTCTGTGTCGTCTGTTGTGTGCTTGTATTGCGGTTATTTTCTTGCTACTGTTGTGTCCTGATGCAAGAATGTCCACGTTTCTGCTTCTGGTAAGTGGCAACATCGCTCTGCCCCCACCCCAGCTGTCGAGTAGACTGAAATATTATTCAGACAGTATTTCAAATCAATTACGGTAATCAAGGGTGATCTGTTAAATGTCAAAATTGATACTTCTCATTCAAGTTAAAGGAGCTCGAGGCCATATGAGTTTGAAACTTACGTTTTGAGATTTGGAGGTACTTTACATGCAGCCCCAAAATTTTCTAAAAAATTGCTTCAAATTTGTTTAAACGCCCTCGGTTAGTGCACAGAACGCTTGGCGCAAGTCTCATTTCGACTTAAATCTCAGATTTTTCTAAAATTGCAAAAGTTCAATTTTTTCCGCTGTTTGTATTGAAGATAGTTTTTCCCTAATGAAATCTTTCTTGAAACATGGTCATGTACAATTTTTCGAAAATAGTAGATTTTGCTTACTTTGTGAAATAGTCAATTTTTAATTTTTTTTTCTTTAAATTTCCTCCCTGTGTCTATCAAAAAACTAAAAAAAAGTTTGTGTTAATCTCATTTCCGGCAAACTCTTATTTTCGAAAATTGCGAAGTTAACATTTCAACACTACAATTCCCCTCCTCGCAATTTCTGCTTGAAATCATTGCAATTTTGAAATAAATATTTTCTCAAAAACTACGCCAAAACTTTACTATTTTACGCGGATAAAAGGAGCGCTTAAAAGAATAGCACTAGTACTTATTTTCCTCGATTCCTCTGAATTTTCGAAAATAAAAAAGGGCGAAAATGTTTTTAAGCATCGGCCCAAGCCGGTACTTCCGAGCAGCTGGTCGGAAAAAAATCTTAACTTCATTATTGCCATATGTAAAGACGCCGATTCTTTTTACACTTTTCTCAATTTTTGAAAATTTAGGGAATGGAACGAAAATGCACGCTATATCTTTAAGCGTCTTGCGCCATATCAGAGGAAAAAAGTTAAAGAAAATGGTCAGATATTAGTATCAACATCTCAAAGACAAAATTCATATCCAATACATGTACATTATTTAACAACACGTTGCCAGATGACATTAACCGATTAAAATCGATACCCAAGTTTTAAGTGCTAGGTAAACTGTTTTCTGCTGCATAACCATTCCTTTACAATTAGAGACAATTCCGAGGATGTCAAAAATAAAAGTAATATTGATTTTAACAATGATATTAAATGTCTTGGTTACTATTTGGTCTGTATAATTATAAAACATTCAATATGCCCGTGAAAAGTATTGCACCTCAACTTCTGTGTTAATGACCCCNNNCGCCCATCACGATCAGGTTTTGCGTCTAGTTTCCCTGATTCTTTGAGCGAATGCTGAGCCCCTCCCCGTTTTGCTTCTGGACATAATACATGTAACTTCATTATCTGTATACGTTTTCGAAAGTTCGTTAAGGGATATACAGTAAGGGTAAAACGTATTCGTATACTAGTGCATTTTTAATTATTGCAACTATTATGCAATAATTAAATTATCAGTCGTAGGCTTCCGTGGCCAGCCAAGATCATGCACAATTAAATAATCAATTCATATTATCAACATGGTATTAACGGAAGCGTATGGAAAAGTGATTACCAAAACCCAAAAGAAAACGCATGAACCAAGCAGATAGAGCCATTGAAATATTTAAGTTCGTCAAAATTCTGGTCACAAAGTATTCGTAAACCATGGGCGTCAGTAGTTGTTTTGGTTCCCCGGCGCCTGACTCGTGGGAAATTTGAAACACCAAGAAGACGCAGTTTGCTAGGCACTCGATAGATGGGCCGTGAATATAATAAAAATAAATGTAGGAAAGGAAACATTGGACAAAAGACAAGGCTGCACCGTCCATTCAAATCTCTGAACGAACTTTCTGAAATATTAAACATCTAGTTATACCATTCTAAGAGTTAATTGTACATTTGAACGAATGAGCCTAGTGTGTCCCATAAAGGGCAAAGGCCTGCAAGAGAGCTCTTGTAAAACTCACGTGATGAGCTATTCCACGTAAGTATAATTGTTCATTTAGTGAAAGGAAAACCGGAGAATTGATTTTTCTTGGTATAGTTTCATTAAGGTAAACATTTAATGAAAATTGTAGTTTTGTAATTTTCGAAAATAGGACGGAAAATGATGAAAATACATCATTTTTGTAAGTTTACGTTGCTCTGATCAAGAAAAAAGTAAATAAAAAATTTGGAGAACTTTTAAAAATTGCTTAGTATATTATGCGCAAAATCACACGAAAAGTGCTCTTATTTTCGAAAAATAGACTATGAACTTACAGATTTTTCTTTAAAGATCAGATTTTATTAAGGAAAAATCTTTTCTTTGAAGAACAGATTTTATTAAAGAAAAATCTTTCTTCTGAATTGTATTTGTAGAATGTTCCCCCAAAATTGAACTTTCGCAATTTTTGAAAGCTCAGAATTCAACGAAAATGAATTTGCGTCATTCTTATAAATGTAGTTTCGTCTTTCCGAGAGAAAAAAAAATAGAGCCAAGTTTTAGAAAGTTTTGAAAACCGCCGATACTTTACGTAAATTACCCCCAAAATCAAAGTATTGTTTCAAGTTCGCAGAGTCGCGAGTTCGACCAATTCGATGGGAGAATATCAATTTTCGAGAAAATCTTAGTAACTGTTTAAACGCTAGTGTTGTCTACGAACAGACATATTTACCGTAAAATCTCCCTGCAACGTACTTGAAGAATTATCCACTTTTTTTGAATTAAGGACTCATACGAGTGTTAATGACAAAAATAGCTCGTTTTCGCTGTCGGATTACAATACTTCTCGTCTTTACTATGAAGTACTCAGTAGGAATGGTCATCTCTAGCAAAATTTCGAGGGGGGGGACATTAAAAGAAGTGTTATCATTACGGAATTTTAAAGCCATGGCAATGATTGATTTAAACTAATACAGTGCACGCGGTAGATTAAAAAATGTTCAATTATGTCGCTGTTCTTCATGAATTCAATAATATACTTTGACAACAAAAGGATGGCACGCACGGAGGCAATGGCGGCAGCAGTTGGAGCAGTAGTGCTATACCGCGTCCGAACGCCCAAGTTCGAAGTACATACAGGTTTATGGCTTTAATCTCGTCAAAGTTGAATGTGATTTCGTTTACTTTTCTTAATTTCTATTTTTAGGCTCTGGTAAATTTATTAATTTACATGTTTTTCAATTTAATTTTTCTGCGCAAAATTAATTTAAAATGGTATCCGCTATCGGTAAAGCGCAAACGTAAAGGCTAAAGTGTTCCGTAATGGGGAATACAAATGGATATTAGTAGGAAGCGGATTTCAATGATTTGACATAGCTATGCCTTGAAGCAACGGACAAAAATAAGTGAAATTTCTTGACATTTGGTTAGTATTGGATGCTACGTAGACTAGCATGTTAGTGCATATTTAGCCGATTTTTCCTGTTGGTGCAAATTCATGTGAAATGCTTGTTGGTGAAAATAGGCAGGTATTTTGCATATTTCGTTAACATAGACTTACCTGTTAGAAGGTATCACCTTTTCATAGAATCTACTATTTTTGTGAGCGTTCATTTGATCAGAATGCTCTTGTCACAGTTTGCGTGTTTTTCATGGGTGATAAA